AACATCGACCTGACATGATTGCATGAATACACGATCACACGGGATGTCTCTCCTTCCGGTGAGGAGCGCAATTAGATAGCCTTCCGTCACCTAACGATTACGAGCAACGAAACATGGATTTCAAGAATCCTGTCTCTGAGCACTGTTGGAAAACATTGCGCGACAATGACCTCATATGGAATTAGTGCAACAAGGACGCTGAGCCACGCGGGTCGCCTAATTCCCATGAATAGAACGCCGATGTTGCTAATGAGGACCCAGTGGCGGGTATTGTCGAAACGTCGGTCAACTTCCGGGTTACCTGAGAACTCACTGACCAAATGGACGCGTTTAGCTTCTCAAGGACTCTGCTCGTGGGCATTGGAGAATGCGGAACGTCACCAAGAGGAGTTACTGAAGTAAAGCTGGATTAAAGAGTGACGATATTCGGGCAGCAAAGTGTCTTAAGTGCACTGCTGCTCGACGAACGAAAATGGAAGACAGCAGAATGGCATACAGTTTGCAAAATGTTACTACTAAGATTCTTCGGCGGAAAAAATATAAAACGTATACGGACCGAACTCTGTAATTCCATAAGAAGAGGTTGGTGACGTCGAATCGAAACTCGATATAATATACGGGTACGGAAAAAGACTGATATTAATGCACCATTATATATTATCAGCTACGAGGAACTTTGGCCTATAGTGAGCGGGTAAAGATTTACCTGTAATTATGTAATCAACTTTTATGGTAAATAATTACATAAACAAATATAATTCTGAGAACGTGCTGGCAGTATATTAAACTTTAAACGCTTTGCTATTTGTGAAGTTTTATAGGATGTCTTACGAGATCGAGTAGAATCCTTACTGCGAAACTAATATATCATTATCAGAGATAAAAAACTCCCAGCCTTTTACAGAATCGAAGTTTAACTGCCCTGTTCACAACAGCCCGACACCAGTCACTATTCTGAACCAGACTAATCCACCTATCCTCATTTTAATATTATCCTTCCGTCTACGTTTTCCAAGTAAAATGTTGTAAGACATCTCACCTCAAGAGAGAGAGAGAACTTTCACGACGACAGACCGCGCGCATCGTAAATTAAAATAAAATCTTACGACAGTCAACTTTGCACATAAACACCCGAAGTCTATCAAAACTGACATCTGCCACAATATGACCTTAGCTTTTCGTGTTAGATCAACCGAACAACGGGCCACCTGGAAGGCTTTGAAAACAAATATTAATCGATGGGATGTCGACCTTTTATCGTGCTCAAGAATAACAACAACACCGTTATAATGATTTTTCGTTGCGATCATCTCCAGCTCGTGAACTCCAGGTTTGACACCCAACTTTCATCGGGGCCCTCACAGCGGTGGTTGTACCAACAACGCACAGGTTAAGAGACGGCTATCGCAGCGGTCAAACACAGTCATGTTCATGATTCATGACTGTGCCGAGCAGAGGTCACGAAGGCGTCTCAGCCTCCTTCTGCACCCTACAGCAGGTCCAGTGTGAGTGCAGCTACCTGCCATACCACAGACACAGAGACCGCGAACTTAAAAGAACTTTCTACCACAACAGAGCGGAAGCATCTGTGAGGATATACGCTTAACCATCCAATCTTCATTAATATCTAAACATCCAGTCCGTACCGCAGTGAAAACGCAACCCACAACCAGATGGTTAAAGTTTCCCAAAGAAACAAACGCTGTTTGGTCTGAAAATCATATAAAATTGATAAATACACCCTGTGAGCTGAATGCAGAATTACTTGTTGTTAAAGCAGATGGCCTTACGGGGTTACGAAGAATGCCGATAATGCACGAACTGAGAACGAATATCACGTACGCATTTATTGCCTACCTCCACCCCAATCGTATGATTAGCCCATCCAAAGGCCCCAGAGTTCACTACCTTAATTAGTAAATCAACTTTCCATTGCATGCATGGGAAGAATTATTTCGAATTTTCTCGGTTAACGAAAAGAAGTGAGTGGATGTGTTCGAGCTGGTACATCTTCCGTCGCGTCCTTTAATCATTCACTTCTATGCATCACAGGGACCCGAACATTTTCAGTTCGTGGAGAAACATGGAGCTCCGTGAAAAACTCGACAAAAAATTGATTTCGGTGACAATTTCTTCGAGTAATTCCATGGCGCATACGTTTCGTAATTTCTTAACAAAAATTCCGAAATATCAGACACAGTTGATTTCAGGACAGCATGTAAGTACCATTACGTTTTTAAGACATATTTAGATTCAAAAGCGAACTGGATCACCCAATAACTCGATCAGGCGGAAGTTCGAGACAGACAGCTGGAATCCAATTTAAAATGCGGAATAATTGTCATTTAAAGTAGGCTATGGCCTTCTGTTAATGAACGGCGCATTTAAAATTTACATACCATTCTGTAGTAACGTTGCAAACAACATGCGGGAATTATATACAGTACACGAGAGTTGAACGGTGTACTCTTTGAAATTACAAAACACGACATTTAAGCCACATAACGTAGGTCACTGTTGCATTAATGTGACCATGGGTCGTTGCTGTGCCCTAAGTCATTCTTGCACGAATGCGATCAGAATTGTTGTTCCGTGCGCCATTCTTACACTGTCGTTCGCTAAGACATGCAATGCACAACCATATGTGACGACAAACCCGTGAAATTACGACGAACTTGTAATTTATACGAACGGTCAGTGCAGGAGCACTCCTTAAAAGATTTATTTATAGATTTTAACCGGTCACACCCACTACCGGATATGTAAGATGTGGCCTTCAAGTTGTTTAAGGGTGGGGAGTCAGTGAGAGCTGAACGAAAGTCTTTAAATCATGAAGTCGAGCGATCTTCGAGTTTCACGAACATCAATATGAGGGTTTCAAAAACTGTTTATTACAGTACATACACACAAGCACGACTTCAGAAAATATACTTCCCCACATCCATGTTCTAGAAGTTTTCCCATGTAATTTATTATTCTATCTACATGTTTATGGTAACATGACAAACATTTATTATCCCATCACTAGGAAATTACCCGGCAATAAAGATGGGAACATGGAAAGTATCATTATTTCATAGCAACACGGAAAACACCACGTACTGTTGCGATAGGTCTACACCGGATGGAACACCAACCAGAGATTTAAAATGAAATTACCACTAACCAACACTAACGTAGACTACAAATCGAAATTACTGATTAGTTCGCAATGAAAGGCAACGCCCTCTGAATCTACGCTGGTCTGTCGATAGTTTTACGATAAACAAATCGATCATTAAAGAAAGCTGTAACAAATATATTTAAAACGTATGTTCATGTACTTCGGTGAAACTTGTAGAAAGTAAATACATTACATTGCAATTAGCTAGTTTGTTTTCTTAATAAGAAGATTAACAAGAAAACAAGTTAGTGAGAGTAAATGAACAACTCTTATCTTGAAGTTACATGCTCGTGATTTTGTATTGCCTAGAGACTATTGGAGATTTTAAAATGATCGCCCGTTACAGGTATTATAGGTAGATACGCGAACATATCCTCCGGACAAACAGTCAGGTTGCTAAAATTATGACATGACAACTCCAGACATCAGATCCACACTTACTAGCGTGCCGATGTCTGGTTAGAGGCTCAAACTAGAGACCGACATTGCGACAACCTGATGGCTGAAGGCCTAACGCCCACATCAGTGACTGTGATAAAGATACGGTGGAATAACTTCAAAAGAAAACTGGGCAATTATAGTAACACCCCCCCCCCCCGCCGCATAATCCCATTGGCTGCCCTGGGACTGAATCCTCAGAATGAAAACTGCAGAGTTATTGTCAACGAAAACTCCAAAAGTGGAGCAAATGAACTACAAATGTCTCAACTTGTTAAAATTCGTCCGATAAAAGAACGGAATTTGACAAACAATATGTGAATAGTGCGCATAACAAATTGTTCACCCCTGTTTTACCGGGCCTGACAATTCTATTTTGAACACAAACCTAGATAGTAACTTTAATGTAAAATACAAACTCCTCCTACGAGCCCTATTAATGTAATTCCCTGACCCACTGGTCGGTACTTCGCTTCTCCTCCTGAGTGCAAGAAGATTGTGACTTAACCACGTCATAATTTCGTAACACATTCCACGACATCTCCGAAGGGAGACTGAGCAGGAAAATATATTCGCTAAAACTTAAAAATCTTTCACCGCATGGGTATTATACGATGCCATTTAATATTGACGGAAATACATAAACACTAAATTACCTAATAACAATATTAAATACGCCCACCCCAATAATAATAACAATGTTGTAGGATTTGAGGTGAGTATGAAGATTTCTGTCTTCTGGGTTGTTGCGCCGTGTAGTCTGGTAGATGGCTCATTCGTCACCCTGATGACGGAGGCAGTATGACCTCTGAAACGTTGGTTAACATCGACCAGACTACTCAGCGCAACAACCCAGAAGACAGAAATCTTCATACTCATCGCCCTGATGACGGAGGCAGTATGACCTCTGAAACGTTGGTTAACATCGACCAGACTACTCAGCGCAACAACCCAGAAGACAGAAATCTTCATACTCATCGCCCTGATGACGGAGGCAGTATGACCTCTGAAACGTTGGTTAACATCGACCAGACTACTCAGCGCAACAACCCAGAAGACAGAAATCTTCATACTCATCGCCCTGATGACGGAGGCAGTATGACCTCTGAAACGTTGGTTAACATCGACCAGACTACTCAGCGCAACAACCCAGAAGACAGAAATCTTCATACTCATCGCCCTGATGACGGAGGCAGTATGACCTCTGAAACGTTGGTTAACATCGACCAGACTACTCAGCGCAACAACCCAGAAGACAGAAATCTTCATACTCTGACGACGGAGGCAGTATGACCTCGTGTCTTGGTGTGTTATGGTTATAAGCTCTTCATTGGTCGCTAATAAAACACGGTTTACTGCCACCCCGACTTGAAGAAGAATAAGAAGACACAATGCTCACATGTTTAGGGACTCCCTTCGGAGGAACGTCTTCATCAGCCAGCCTTAAGAAGCAGGAACTTACCTGAAACACACAAAAGAAACGGACGCATGAAATTACTTTACCTGCAGTTTCGCTGAGTGAAGGCAACACGTGGCCTCAGTACCGAAAGCGAACACAGACATGGGGGCACATGTTATTTCAGGGGTGGCCAAGGGAGTTATAACAGAGGACTTTTCACATCCGACAACGAACTTGAACGCACGGTTTGGTTGCACCCAAGGTAGTGCGCCTCCCCCCCCCCAAAAAAAAAGATTCATGAGAAATAATCCTGAAATAACTGTCGGCTTTCGTTTGAGGTTCGATAGATTTTCCTCTGTGCCTACGCCCGACGCTATGGGGAGTGGAGGTAAAGCTCCACGCATTCTTAACCTCGGCTGCAGGAGAAGAGAGGTGTTAATTAGTAAGGGTGTCACGGAAATAAACTGGTGTGGGTGTTTGCGATTCGATCCACAGACCTCCTGTATGTACGAAAAGTTATCCCTGTCTACAAGACGAAGGGAACACTGGAACAGCCTTTGAGCTCACCTGTCACACATCTGAATGCACCACGTACAAAGTTTCATCTGGGCAATGAACTTGTTGAACGTCGTCACCTACAGACGGCCAAGGTTTGAGACCAGAGAGGACAATCCTAGGAATAAAGTGGGAGGAAACTGTCAAGAATCTTTATTGAACTGTATACTCGTCATGCTTCGTCAAGATGACTCGATCTTCATATCGACTTCCGGAGGCTGTGGTCACTCACCCCAAACCACAGGCAAACGCACACTCCGGAAGTTTATCGCATCTCAACACTAACATGACCTCCTTGAAATAAACTTCCTCAGATAACAAGATTTTTAAACGTTAGGCGAAGAGTATTTGGAGGCACGTCGGTAAACTTCTACCAGACTACATGGCACAACAATCTAGAAGACAGCCATGTTCACACTCGCCGCCGTGACAACTTAAAGCCTCGCAATTTTAATATTATCCTTCCATTATGCCATGGTGTTTCACGGAACATTACTATATCCAACTTGCGGACAACAGCTAAAACATCTTGTGAATAACATTTAGCACAGATCGACGGTGGCCTGATGTTTGTGTTGAAGGGGCGGGTTCAGAATCGCTGACCATGGAACATTCTCGCTTACGAGGCTCTGAACACAGAAAGAGAATCTTTGCTCTCACTTTTCACGTTGCACCAAGTGGCGAGAATTTCGACTTGTTTGCATGAGAATACTTGAAACAGGAAGGATGTACCAGTCCCTATCTTAACTGCAGATATTCAATTATGAAGCAGTCATCGTCCTCCGTCAAGGTCTGACCGACCTTGTACGTACACGATAAACAACCAACTGCATGGACTTGGCTATTCAAGGTCAAGCCATTCCCATGTGTGACACCTCATTAATGTGTTCTATTATTAAAGCACGTTTGTGAGTTAATATGGTGCGTCAGAAGAAACTTGTCAGGGGCGATTTATATGCACGTTCTAGCATGAAACCTAACCTTAAGGGTTCAAATTCATGAGAATACACACAACTAAAGAGGTCCGTAATCTATCCTCATCTGACACCAACAGAATCACAGACGTTAATAACAGATTTACGACGAGGAAAACACAAATTATTCGTTTAAAAATAAATTATATTTCGTCTGCAATCTATTACGGTAGAAATAACAAATATCAAATTTCATAAAAATTCGTTCACCCGCTCTCGCCTTGCTGTATGTGGACAGAGGGACAGACATGATGAAGCCGAAGGGCGCATTTTAGTGTCGTCTAGATGCAAACGCGCCCAAAAACGTCGTGGATCAAGATGCGTTTATGATCATCAACACCCATGTGATGGCCCCCGGAGGAATCACAACTTTTTTTTTCAAGTGGCCCTCAGCAGACATCGACTAAGACATTCCCGATATGCGACACAGTTGTAAGTCATGGAAACTGCTACGCTAAGAATCACCTCAAAAGAAAAAATAATAAATCTATTAAGTTAAGAAATCTATAAAGATAACGTGTCCACAAAACCCCGGGTTATTGCAGCCCACAGCTCCAACATAGGCGTCATTCTCCTACTACACATTTTCGTTCTTATCACAAAATTCCGCTCCCCAATTCCTCATTTTCAACAGGCAAATTTCCTATACCTTATTTAATTCTATAGCATTTCTATAATTCATTTTCCTATAAGCTAGGTATTCATTAACTACAAGTCAGTTTTCTTTGTATTTTGAAGGTGCCTGGTTTGAACTCAGCTGAAATAGTGAAGGCATTACGTGACCAGCCTTAATCTCTCCAGAGCAACGGAGCTCGAATAAATGCAAAATCATCTTATCTGCTCCGAACCGTTCTTCGAAACTTACCTTCGCCTCTATCGACACTACAAAACCTTAGTCAATAACCGAAGACGGCAGCTTGATTACACTTCTATTATTAAAGTAGAAGCTACGTGCTCATGCCTTAAAAGCCGTGTATCAGCTCTTTGACTCACTACGCGAATTGGCCTATGTCTGTCTGTCCACCTATCAGTAGATTATATCGTATTCAAAACCACGCAGTGGATTTAGATTAAATTTTATTAAGTAAATATACACTATATTTTGGTTTTGGCCTCTTTTGGATGAAATATAACCCTTACATTTAACAAAACTCTAATCCAAGTCCTGCATGGTTGAAGGTTCTCACCAGCGGCGAATATTAGAATGGCTGTCTGCTGCCTCCATCATCAGGGCAAAATATAATCGCTCTGATAAACTATGCGACATTAAAAAGAGCTTCAAATACGTACAGTTCCAGGCTTGATAAGATCGGCATAAATTATAATTTCGAGGCCATCCGAACGAAACTGAAATCATCTCCGTCAACTGCATCCGTGCGTTATTTTTGCTGTAACCTGCATAAGATCCGCTCTCTTTTTTTCCGTATTAAAAGCTTGCATAATCATGTTAATGCTAAACCACTTTCCAGTCTGATAAAATTTCTTCGTTTATAACCGATGTTTTTCCCGTGACAGACACGAAACAAGAGAACGCAGAAGATAAACTCTTTTCCCTTTCTCGAAGAAAGAATAAAAACATATCTTTCGAAACGTCCATTTTAACAACTCAAATCTTCTAAATTTCAAAAAGCAATGCCGATACTGATCCGTTTACCGCAACGTAGGGTTCGTCGCTGAAGGAAATCAATACATAAAAATGTTTCTATTAACAAAGATACTAAGCAGTTACTTGACAAATGTACCACTGAAATTTTGTTGTCGATATCTACGAACGCTAATTCGAAGGACAGAGATGTAAGCGTACATAAGAAACCGATTTAATCTTTAACATTTTTCCCAGATTCAAATAACGATCAGAGTTAGCTCAACATTATCACGGGTGTGAGGTTCGAGGTTTTCAAACCGCGGTGACGTTTTCAGTCTACAACTGGAAGAAGGCTCGCGGCGCGGGCAGTACCTGGTGACCATCTTGTAAAAGGTGAGGATGAAGAACATTTACTAATTAGAACAAAGGACTCTGTTAATAGACAATTAAACCAAACACATGGGCCTTCATATCATTAACTTATTCACAGCGTCACAGAAGATAATTACGCAAATCCAAACAATCCCAAAAGCACGAGTTTCCTCAGGAGCATGACAACGTATCATGATTTGCCATCACATCGTTTCACTTTCAAGAAGCTGAAATTCATTTCGTGATATGAAAAATTTACATGTCATGTTCCAACGAAACATGAGTGACCTCAAACATAAGTTACGGTGACCCCAACTCATTTCTGACTCCCGATTTCTTTTTTCGTAGCGACCACAAGTAACCGCGCACTTCCAGGCCCCTTCATTAATAACTGAGGAAGTCTCGTAGCCTGATACGACGAGATTCAACAGCATATTAAAGAAATTAAAATTTGCGTAAGAAACGGGACAAACAGTCTTGTCATGCGACTATGACGCCGGTGGTTATCGATGTTTCGATGGAAAATATATCCTCCATCTTCAGGACAGCAAGGATCCTTATGAAACGTTAACAACTCTTTACAAGACAACACGCCGTCACACCCCGAAAGCTATCAGGCCAATTCTAAACTCCCGCTTCTTTATTAAAGGTGAACAAATACTGTTTTATTTAAATTAATTCTTCAATCAGCCGCGTCAAATGGAACGCTTCGGAAGCCATCTCCGACCCCATCATCATGGTTCTGATGTCACATCAGAAACATTAACCTCTTCGCCTAAACCAACTGGAACAGCTGATTTTCGGAGAAGATTTTATCGAGTTTAGTCGCCGTAAAATTTTCAGATCATGTACAATTCAATCAGTTTATCTGTCGCCATCTTTTATCACGTGTTCTGACAACTACGAATCCAGCAAAATAATGGATGAAATCGTCAATAACGATACTAAACGAAACAGATATCGACTTAAATTACAGCCTTGCGTTACATCACTTCTCGCTTCACACGAAATTTACGAGGCGCGTCCCAAAAGTAAGTTTCCCACTCGTCCCACAGCTAGCAAACCTTATATTGAGCGAAGCGACTGTGCGTACGTGATAGAGCAATGACGTAGCATGGCGCATGCACTAACGGCACCTCCCGCGTTCTCACAGTAGCATCGTTGCAGCTGTTGAAGATGGAGGTTCTTATTCCAGCTCCCGCCGACTATGAAGTGCGGTCAGTGATAACGCTAGGCCGCGCACGGCTCGACGGACAGCAAGTCTCCTGCAGTAGTTCAGCTGGGAGGTGTTTAATCATTCACCCTACAGCCCGGACCTCGCTCCCAGTGATTTCCATCTTTTCCTACACCTCAAGAAATTCCTGTCCGGTCAGCGTCAGCGTTTTGAGAATGACAGAGAGGCGGAGATGGTTGTCACACCGTGGTTCCAATCCCAGGCGGCAGACTTCTACGACACAGGTATTCAAAAGTTGGTCCCACGGTATGACAAATGTCTCAATTCCGGTGGCGAATATGTTGAAAAATAGCTGGACACTTGCTGTATCTGTTGCAATAAATATTTCCATGAAATTGTGTTT